AAGTAGTAGCTAGAGTTGAGCATTACTTTATGAAGTAGTACCCAGAGTTGAGCACTACTTTATGAAGTAGTACCCAGAGTTGAGCAGTACTTTATGAAGTAGTACCCAGAGTTGAGCACTACTTTATGAAGTAGTACCCAGAGTTGAGGAGGACTTTATGAAGTAGTACCCAGAGATGAGCAGTACTTTATGAAGTAGTACCCAGAGTTGACCATTATTTTATGAAGTAGTACCCAGAGTTGACCAGTATTTTATGAAGTAATACACAGAGTTGTGGGCTCAAGTTTCATGACTCGGACTCTAACTCAAATCACAGTTTTGATGACTTGACTTTTTCAAAGACTTGGAACTCAACTCCACGCAGATTTGAGCCTTTTGCCTTGAAAATACTTGGTATCTCAATCCAAATAAAACATATTTATGTACTTTTTATGAAAAGTTTATGAACTGTGTACACTGTACCTTTTGGGTTTTTCTTCGTCATTTTGAAACAAACCTGCTCGTAGATTCTGCTCTTCTTCTTTTACAACACGTCGCCTTTTAGAAGCTGTCACAAGTGCTGGAAATGATTTTTTATGACTTTGTAATTAGGTCTAGTCAAGACTTGACTCAAGACTTGACTTTGGACTCGATTTTAGACTCAAGTTGGACGACTTGAGACTCGAGACTTGAGACTCATGACTCGGCTCCACCTCTGGATGGTACTGTGTAGGAGCAGAGTAGAAGTATATCCTATGAGCACAACATTTTGTATCTTTGTCTTATTGAGCATAAAAACACAAAAGATAAACTATACAAAAATCAAACGCTAAGCTAAAATTAATTGTTTCAATTATTTGCTTTTATTTTTGATACCAGAAATTCACATTTCAGTTATTCTTTGCACATTTGGGGAAAAAACTGTGTTTTCTTCAGCGGTATTACTGATAGTGTAAGAGAAATACTGTGACGGCAAAGTGATCTCAGTGATCCTCGTGTCTTAATGATGCTGCATCTTCACACAGGGACAGCACAGCGAGGAGGATTCACATTTTGAGCTCTTTTCAAAACATAATGGAAGCACATCATTTTGGGGTTTGTCCAGTTCTCACAAACCCGTAGGGACGATGGTTAGACGTCACATGGGACAACCCTAAGCTGGGTAGCTGGCCCTTCCCTAACCCCTGCAGCCCTGACAGGATGTTGCGTTCAAAGCCCTTTGTTCCTGCAACTCCTCCGAACTCTTTCCTCTCGTGTTTCATGCAGAGCTCGACTTCTTGCGCTCGTCAGGAGCAGGAACATCTCACAAACAGCAAGCTGTTTTTAAAGCTGTCTTAAAGCAGAAAAGTGCCTTGTGAGCGTGAATGATTCTTCTGTAAAAACAAGTTGATGTAAATGTTCATTTACCTCAAATGTTTACAAATCTGTTACTAAATAAATTTTTGTACCATTTTGTTGCATCTACTTTTGTTTTGTGTGATAATTTCATGGTTTCTGCTGGATTTGACCATTGGTGATCAGCATTTAATGCACAAATATAAAAAATAAAACAAAGAGAAAATGAGCAAAACAAACTAAATCAACCACTAAGAGTTTGAAAAGTGAATGTTTGTTGTTTTTGAGCAGAGGTGGTTTTTATTTTTATTTGTTTGTCTGAGGCAGCGCAGAGTGACAGGTCCTGGTGAGAGGCGGGAGCAATGTTGGAGCCAGTCACACACACACACACACACACACACACACACACACACACACACACAC